GGGAATTTCTCAGCTATTACTTCTTCAGATATTTTTCTGCCTCATTCTCTCTATCCTCTTCTTCTGGACTTCAATAACATATATTGTTGTTAGGTTGCTGTTAGGTGCTGTCGAATCGGCTCCGACCTTAGTGACCCTATGTACAACAGAACCAAACATCGCCCAGTCCTGCGCCATCCTCAGAATTGTTGCTATGCTTGAGGCCATTGCTGCTGCCACTTTGCAGCCCATATATTAGAGTGTTTAATACTGTCCCATAGGTCCCTGAGGGTGTTTTCCTTTTCTTTTCCCTCTGTTCTTCAAATTCGATCATTTCTATTCATTGATCGTCAAGTTCACTGACCACCATCCCCATTCTGTCCAGTGAATTTTTAATTTCATATACTGTATCTTTCAATTCTACTATTTGGTTTTGGTTCTTTTTAATAGTTTATATTTCCCCACTGCTGTTTCCTACTGTTTTTATTTACTGTGAGCATGTTTTTCTTTACCTCTTTGAGGATAGTTGTCAAGGACTAAACTGTGTCTCCCAATAATATGTGTCAACTGGACTGGGCCAAGATTCTTAGTGATTCCTAAATGGTTATGTAATGATGCAATCATCTTCTGCCATGTGGTCTGATGTAATTATCCTGTGCAGTAAATTTTAATGTCCATGATGTTAATGAGGCAGGATTAGAGGTAAGCATGTTACTGAAGCAAGGCACCAGCCACAGAATTAAGTTACATTTCAAACCAATCTCTTGAAATGTCAAAGAGATTAAACAAATGAAAAGAGAGCAGAGGGACCTGACCATCACCAAGAAAGGAGAGTCAGACGTAAAGCATGTCCTTCGGAATTGGGGTCCCTGCACTGAGAACCTCCTAGACTCAGGGGACATTTGATGCCAAGACACATAGAGATCTCCAAAGAGCACCAGGTCCACAGAGGTTGAAAGGAGATAAGGACCGTCCTCCAGAGCTAACAGGGAGAGAAAGCTGTCCCTGGAGCTGACATCCTGAATTTGGACTTCTAGCATCCTAAATATGTGACTATAAATTTCCATTCACTATAGCCATTCACTGTGGTATTTCTGTTATAACAGCACTAGGTAACTGAGGCAGGTGATTACACCTACTCCTCCTTCCTGGACTACAAGTTTCAGTGAAACAGCTACTCCTGCCTCCCTGCCAGTAAGAAGGTCCCTGTTCAAGGAAGGTGATACTGACGGCAAGACAGGGGACCCGCTGTCCTGCCCCAGCCCCACAGGGAACTCATACTACACACAGCCACCAATCTCCTTCTCCAGTCCCAAATGTCCCTGACTCCACGCCACACTACTCCCACCCCAATACTTGAAAGGGGACCGCGGTAAATGAGGCACAGAGCTGCCAGAGAATGCTCAGGATAACCAGGGTACAGATTGAGGTCATGACCACAGCAGTCAGTGATGGTGACTGGGGCTACTGTCAGATCTCTTGCAGCAATCTCCATATTGAAGTAACCGCATAGTGTCTTATGACTAGAATGTTCAGGGGCTACAACCAGGACACCACTGAGGGAAAAGGGCACTATTAATAATTACAACAGAACAACCGTGTAAACTAGGACTGTGACAACCAAAGGGAAGCATACAGTCTCCCTATCAATGACCCTAAAGGGGTGTTCTGGAAGGTTTGGTAAAGTTTATGTCATCAAAGTTACAAGGAAAAAGAAAGTTAATAAGCTTTGTGAGTAAGGCGAGACCAGTCTTGTTATACCTGTCAGAAATGAAGATAATGATGAAGAGGTTAGGAGCACTCCTGCCTCTAGAAATTTCTTAAGGCAAGTTAGTCAGAGTGGGTAGTAACAAATACAGAAGCTTAACTTCCAGTATTGTTAGAGTTCGTAGATGTGTTAGTTGTACGATGAAGGAGGAGCTATAGTGAAACATACTCTGAGACACAGTCACAGCCCTGCCCCCTAACTTGGGGCACACTCTCACTTATCATAGAGTGAGGGCACCTGTTTCTCAATTACAGATGAATGTAATTGTCCATGTCCCTTGTCCCATCTGAATCACATGGGAATTAAGTCCTGTTCTAGTAGCGGAATGGGCTAGGTATTGGGCTGCTAACCACAAGGTCAACAGTTCAAATCCACCAACTGCTCTGTGAGAAAGTTGAAGTTTTATGGAGTCCTGGTGTGGCACTGTAAGGTAAACACTGGACTGCTAACCTCAAGGTCTTCAGTTCAAATCTACCACTTGCTCCTCAGAAGTGCTGTACAGAGTTGCTATGAGTCAGAACTGACTGGATGGCACTTAACAATAACAACACCACACTTGTTAGCTTTCTCTTTCCTTCTGTATATCATAACCTTCTCAGGCCTGCCTTGTTTTTACTTCGCATACTCTAATGGAATTCTAGCATTTGGTTTCTAAAGCCAAGCCCCACAAATGCTAATGTAAGGGCCCTCAGGAAGAGGGGGAGAACATACTCCCTCTTAACCTACAGCTGCAGAAACTCTGACGTGATTCTGCTTCATAAAGTTGATTTGGGTAAAGTAGTGAATCAAGAACATCCACACTCACTAGTTTGGGAAGGCACAATCCTATTCTATATTATTTTTATATCATCTTTGGAAGTATAATGTATACAAAGGACACTTTTAAGATATTCATGCTTCAGAGATTATTGCTGTATGTCTAGTGAAATGCAATCTATAAGCCTTAGAAGTCTACAACTCTAGTTGGCTGTGGATAACTTATTGCTCTGAAAAGAATATTTAATTTAGCCTCCTCATTGTCCAAAAAGCATAAATACTTGTAAAAATGTTGTTTGTTTGTTAGACTAGAAGAATACTTTTGACATTCTCTCCTCCTTTCAAGCATAGAGGTAAAATATCATTACTCTGTTTATTTCTATTTTCAAGTAAAGGGTTTAAGAGTCTTAAATCATTTGAATTAACAAGAGGCATCCTTACCCAGGGAAATACTAGGAAAGGTAGAAGTTAGCCAGGTGGGAAGAGATAGAAGAAGAAAGGGGGAGGAAGCAATCAGAACCTGAGTTCCATTAACTCAGAAAGGATTTGGAATTTGGCTGTGACCTATAGCATCCCTTCCCTGGGATAGTCATAAAGAGACAAAACATAGCAACTGTGATATTTGGAGTTCCCACCTCCACTATGGCCCCAATTCTTGAGGGGGATAAACATTCCCCAACCCAATTCCAATAGGAAGCTAACTATTCAGGTCAGAGTCTCCCCAGGAAGATGGAAGCTGGCATCAAGACGCAAGAAAGCAAGAAAACAAATGCCTGGAGAAAGCAAGGAAAGGGAGGAAGGTGAGAGACAAGTAAAGGAAGGGTAAGAAGAAGGGAGAGAACATGCCATCTGGGGCCTGAGTGGTGTGTTCAGAGCAAAGATTACATCACGATATAGGGACCAGAGGACATGCCTCCCAAGCTCTTCCTTGGACAAATAAAAATAAAGATGGAGGAAGGAAATTCTAGGAAGGAGAGGAACACCAAGAAGTGGCACTTGAACAGGATCCAGGTCATTTAGGAAGGGGACGACCCCGAAAGTACATGGAAGTTGCTGTTAATTGCTATTAAAAAATTATAAGCTACTACAGAAGCTCATCATGAAGAATCTGTACCTGGACCAAGAGGCAGTTGTTCAAACAGAACATGATTTAAAATTAAGAAAGGTTTGTGGCAAGGTTGTATTCTTTCACCATACTTATTCAACCTGTACGCTGAACAATTAATCTGAGAAGGTGGGTTATATGAAGAAAAACATGGCATCAAGATTGGAGGAAGACTCATTAACATCCTGCGATATACAGATGACACAACTTTGCTTGCTGAAAGTGAAGAGGACTTAAAACATTTACTGATGTAGATCAAAGAGCATAGCCTTCGGTATGGACTACATCTCAATGTAAAGAAAACAAAAATCCTCACCACTGGACCAATAAACAACATTCTTATCAATGGAGAAAAGATTGAAGTTGTCAAGGACTTCATTCTTCTTGGATCAACTATCAACACTCACGGAAGTAGCAGTCAAGAAATCAAAGGACGTATTGCATTAGGCAAATCTGCTGCACAAGACCTTTTGAAAGTGTTGAAGAGCAAAGATGTCAGCTTGAGGACTAAGGTGCACCTACCCAAGCCATGGTATTTTCAATAACCTCATATGCATGTGAAAGCTGGACAGTGAATAAGAAGACCGTAGAAGAATTGATGCTTTTGAGTTGTGTTGGAGGAGAATATTGAAAGTGCCATGGGCTGCCAAAAGAACCAATAGATCCATTTTGGAAGAAGTGCAGCCAGAGTGCTCCTTGGAGGCCAAGATGGCCAAACTTCGTCTCTCATACTTCAGACATATTGTCAGGAGGAACCAGTCTCTGGAGAAGGATATCATATTTGGTAAGATGGAGGGTCAGAGAAAAATATGAAGACCCCCCAGCGAGATGGATTGGCCGAATGGCAGCATCGATGGACTCAAGCGTGGCAACAGTAGTGAAGTTGGCCTAGGATCGAGCAGTGTTTTGTTCTGCTGTGCACAAGGTCACTATGAGTCGGTACCAACTCGATGGCACCTAACAACAACAACAACAGAAACACATCATTTTTAAAGTTTATTTTGCACCTTTGCAGTTTCTCCTTCTGTTATTAGATAGCTATCTTATAACAGTATCCATTCTGTTGCCCTTCATGGAATGTGAGAAGGATCCTGTAGGAGAAAGAAAAAGAACAGACATGTCCCCAAAAGATGGTAGCAGAAAGTATTCAGCAAAGTGATAGTGGAGTGGAGAGTAGGATGGTTAGGGTAGACAGGATGGAGGGAAGAAGCTAGCTATGAGGATATTTCTACCCATATATTCAACAGTTGACCGTACAAAGTTCATGATCATGTAATGGTTTAGGGACTGTATTAGCTATCAGCAGTGGTAAAGAAAGTAGCATGCAGTGTTCTGTATAGTCTACTCGTCTGGGAGTTTTCCTAAGGTTTCCAGAGTCTCTTGAAAGAAGAGATGGTCCAAGAAGCACTGGAGTGGGTGAGGAACCAGTCCAGGCACATGGCCTCCATTTAGGTCAGTAGAATGGAGAAATAAAGGATGAGTAGAATTATGTGATGATCATCATGCATTGTGACTCTGAGTCCCAAAGGTGTTCAGGCCTTCTAGAGAAGGCTGGAGTCCACGTCCAAGTCGTGACCCTGTAGCCAACCATGATGCAGAACTCACTCCATACTTACCCACTCCTTTCAGATCACAGACAATGGGATTGCTCCAAGTAGGTTCTATGGGCACCAGGGCTCCCCGCTAGGCAGACTCCCTAGTCAGAAGGAGCTTGTGTTCTCAAGGAGAAGGTTGCAGCTGACTTCCCACAAAGATGGCTTCTTTGAGGAGAGGACCATCTGCCTCCACAGGGGCTTCCTGGTCCTCAACCAAGCCTTGGGTAAGTTCCTCCTGGAGGTACAGGTAAATCTCTACCCCCAGCCATCATCCCTGGGTAACTGCCCAAGGGAGCTAGAGTGACAGCTGAGACTGAGGCTCAGGGACCTCTAGATGTGAGTCCATCCCTGCCCAGCCCTGACCCTGCTGGATGAGCAGTCTCCAGGGACCATGGACGGAACTCAAAAGACCACTTAAGCAAGTGCCTCCCACCCACTGTTCAGTAAGAAGATGAGAGAAGGAGCTCAAGTTCACAGGTCACAAACTCCCAATTTCTACAAGGTGCAGGCTGGTAACATAAATGAACAGAGGGGGCAGGTGGAGAGGTATGGCTCTACTAAGAGGCAGCCACCATTCAAAACCAGCACTCATCTGTGAGTTTGTCTTACTGTGATGGTTCATGTTGCTGTGATGCTGTAAATTATGCTGCCTATATTTTAAATACCTATAGTGGACAGGTTTCATTGGAACTTCCAAACTGAGACAGTCTAGGAAGAAGGAGAATCAAACTACTTCTGAATGGTTAGCCACTGAAAACTTCATGAATAGCAGTAGAATATTGTCAGATATAGTGCCAGAAGATGAGCCCCTGATGTTGGAAGGTATTCAAAATATGACTGGAAAAGAGCTACTTCCTCAAAGTAGAGTTGACCATGACGACTCAAGTGGAGTAAAGCTTTCAGGACCTTCATTTGCCGATGGGGCACAACTCAAAACAAGAAGAAACAACTGCAAACATCCATTAATAATCAGAACATGAAATGTACAAAGTATGAACCTAGGAAAATTGGGAGTAGTCCAAAATTAAATGGAACACATAAAAATCGATATTCTAGACATTAGTAAGCTGAAATGGACTGGTGTTGGCCATTTTAAATCTGACAAGCATATGGTTTGCTATGCCAGGAACAATAAATTCAAGAGGCATGGTGTTGCATTCATTGTCAAAAAAGAATATTTCAAAATCTATCTTGAAGTACAACTTTGTCTGTGACATGATAGGATGCATACACCAACAAGGAAAACAGTAGTCCTGGTGTGGCACTGTAGGATAAGTACTGGACCTACAGGTTGATTTGAATCAGAAGGCCAGTGCTTCGGCTTCTCAGAAACCCTTTACAGGATGGCTATGAGTCAGAATCAACTTGACAGAACTTAACAACAACAAGGAAAACCAGTTAAAACCACTATTATTCAAATTTACACACCAACCCCTAAAGCCAATAATGATGAAATTTAAGAACTCTACCAACTTCTTCTGTGTGAAATTGTCCAAGCATGCAATCAAAACGTATTTGATAATTACTGGTGATAAGAATGCAAAGGTTGGAAACAAAGAGGAAGGAGATAGTAATTGAAAAATATGGTCTTGGTGATAGAAATGATGTTGGAGATTGCATGATAGGATTTTGCAAGACCAATGACTTCTTCATTGCAAATACCTCTTTTAAATTAAACAACATAAAAGATAATTATACACATGGACCTCACCAGATGGAATACACAGGAATCAAATGGACTACATCTGTAGAAAGAGATGGTAGAAAAACTCCATATCACCAGCTAAAAGAAGGCCAAGGACAGAGTATGGGACAGACCATGACTAGCTCATATGAAAGTTCAGACTGAGGCTGAAGAAAATGAAAACAAGTCCACAGGAGTCTAAATATGACCTTGAACATATCCTACCTCGACTTAGAGACCATTCTCAAGAACAGATTTGATGCATTAGACCCTAATGACCAAAGACCAGAAGAACTATGGGATGGCATCAAGAACATCATGCAGGTAAAAAAAAAAAAAAAAAAAAAAAACCAAGGTCATTAAAAAACAGGAAAGAAAGAAAAGGTCAGAATGGATATTAGAAGAGACTGAAGTTTCTTCTCCAGCATAGAGGTGCTAAAGCAAATGGAAGAAATGAGGAAGTGAAAGAACTAAACAGAAATTTCAAAGAACCGCTTGAAAAGACAAAGTATTATGATGAAATGTATAAAGATGTGGAGTAAGAAAACCAAAAGGGAAGAACTTGCCCAGCATTTCTCAAGCTGAAGGAACTAAAGAAAAAATTCAAGCTTCAACTTGCAATATTAAAGGATTCTCTGGGCAAAATATTGAATGATGCAGAAAGAATCAAAAGAAGATGGAAGGTATATGGTGTCACTCTACCAGAAAGAAATGGTCGAATGTTCAACTATTTCTAGAGGTAGCATATGATCCAGAGCCAATGGTACTGAAGGGAAAGTTCAAGGTACACTGAAGGCATTGGCAAAAAAAAAACAGTGGAATACAAATTGAAATCTTCAACAAACTGGTGCCGCACTGGAGGCAGCTACCTGGCCAACCTATTAGAAGAGAACTATATTTGTGCCCATTTCGAAGAAAGGTGACCCAACGTAATGCAGAAATCATCCAACAATATCATTTATATCACATGCAAGTAAAATTTTGCTGAAGGTAATTTAAAAAAATGGCTTCAACAGTACATCAACAGAGAACTGCGAGAAATGCATGCCAGATTCAAAAGAGGACATGGAACGGTGGATACCATTGGTCAGATGGATCTTGGGTGAAAAGTAGAGAATACCAGAAAGATGTTTACTTACGCTTTATTGACTATGTAAAGGCTTTCAACAGTGTGGACTGTGACAAGTTATGGATAACATTGCAAAGAATGGACATTCCAAAACACCTCATTGTGCTCACGAGGACAAAGAGGCAGTCGTTTGAGCAGAAAAAGGGGCCCCTAATTACTTAAAATCAGGAAAGTTGTGTACCAGACCTGTATTCTTTCACCATACTTATTCGATCTGTATGCTGAGAAAATATTCTGAGAAGCTAGATTATATGAAAAACATGGCATCAGGACTGGAGGAAGACTCATTAACATCCTGAGATATGCATGCAGATGATACAATCTTACTTGCTGAAAGTGAAGTGGACTTAAAATACTTACTGATGAAGATCACAGATGACAGCCTTCAGTATGGATTGCAGCTCAATGCAAAGAAAATAAAAATCCTCACAATTGGACCAATAAATAGCATCATGATAAATGGAGAAAAGACTGAAGTTGTCAAACACTTCATTTTGTTTGGGTCCACAATCAACACTCATGGAAGTAGCAGTCAAGAAATCAAACGACATACTGTTCTAGGCAAATCTGTTGCACAAACGTGTTCAAGAGCAAAGATATCAGGTTGAGGACTAAGGTGTGCCTGACCCAAGCCATGGTATTTTCATTAGCCTCACATGCATGTGAAAGTTGGACAATGAATAAGGAAGACTGTAGAAGAGTTGTGGTGTCAGATAAGAATATTGAAAGTACCATGGACTGCCACAGGAACAATCTGTCTTGGAAGAAGTGCAGCCAGAAATCTCCTTAGAAGCTTGGACAATGAGACTTCATCTTTCATACTTCAGACATGCTATCAGGAGGGACCTTGGAGAAGGACTTCATGGTTGGTAAAGTGGAGGAAGTAAAAAGAGGAAGACCCTCAACAAGATGGATTGGCACAGTGGCAGCACCAATGGGCTCAAGCATAACAATTGTGAGGTTGGTGTAGGGGCCAGGCAGTGTTTCATCGCTGGCACCTAACAGCAACAACAACAAGGGATCATCCTGCCATGTGTGATTCATGCACATGACAAAATTTTGTTTTAAATGATCCTTCCACTCCAGATCTTAGAAAACTGGGCTGATTTTGGAAAGTTGTGGTGGGTAAACTATTCCCAAATTAGACAGCAGGTGGAGCTCAACCCAGAGATTTAGAAAAAAGGAAACTGTTACCTAACTCATTTCCAGTAACTTCTCCCTCCTCCCCCACAAAGCCTTCCCCAACCCCACCTCCTATAACCTGACCTGGGACAAGTCATCTCGCAAGTCCCAGATCCCACGTCCCCCTGTGAGCAAACTATCTCTGGAGAAACCCCACCCCACAAGGCAAGATGTGAGTGTACTCCTTGGAGATGCCTGGGGGAGAGGAAGAAGAGGGTAGAGAGAAGAAAAGGTGGGAGGACACACACACACACACACACACCTGGAATTGGAACTCTCTTGAAGAGTACAACAGCCTTCCTTGGGGTGGTCAGGAGGAGGAGTAAAACTCTGTAACAGGAAACTAATATATTATTACTATCCCCTCAGATTCCAGGGTGGGGGTTGGGTTTGCTGAAGCAGAAAGCAGTCCACTACTGAGTGAAACCCTCCTTGGGAATGAGTACCTTTGAAGGACTGGGAATTGGCAGACCTAGAGCTCAGGTTGAGCAGGAGACTGAAAGGGATTTGGGGATGTCTGTATGGCTTCATTTTACCCTTACCCACCCACAGGTGGTGGCTGCTTCTCTGTGGAGCCCTCCAGGCTTGTCCCACTCAGGGCTCCATCCTCTTGGCCCATTTACTACCCCAGAAGTTGACATCCCCCGGGTACCCAGAGCCATATCCCAAAGGCCAAGCAAGCACCACTGACATCGAGGCTCCAGAGGGCTTTGTTGTAAAGCTGGTCTTCCAGGACTTCGACCTGGAGCCGTCCCAGGACTGTGAGCAGGACTCTGTCATAGTGAGCTGGGGCCCTGGAGGGATGCTTGGGAGGAACTTCCAGGCCTGGAGCCTCCCAGGGGCAGTGGGAAGTGGCTCTGTCCTGACCACAAGGGAAGAAACAAAAAAGGTGAACTTAGGTTCCACGTAAGGGACGGAAGCCAGGGCCAGCGCACAGCTTTCCACAAGGGTCTCTGTGTCACCATCTAGATACACCACAAAGCAAAGGAGAGAGTCAGGACAGTCCCTAGCTTTTGAACTTACAAAGGAGATCCACAAATATTGCAAACCCATAGAGCAAAAGGGCAGGGACTCACATACGTCATTAAAAGTATATCATCAAATATTTGTTGAGAGCCTGCTCTGGCAGGTTAGGAAGCTGGGCACAAAAAGATTAGGTAACCATTCCTGTTTACTCTGGTTGGTTGGTTGATGGTTGCAGCCGTAGAACTGGTTCAGATTCATAGCCACCCTGCATAGGGTTCCAGTCTTTATAGGAACAGAAAGCCCCATCTTTCTCCTGCAGAACAACTGGTAGTTTCAAAGTACTGACCTTGAAGTTAGCAGCCTGACTCATAACCACTACATGACCAGAGCTATGTGTACTTTAGAGGCTCTCTTATAAGACTTCTTAGGACAAGGGCATTATCCAGAATAAGAACACTTTAAAAACAGTGCTTACTATTATCTTTTGGGTTAAATTTTATTTTTATCAAAATAATACATGCACATTGTTTAACACATCAAAATACTGTATGGCGCTGCAGGTTAATGCGATGGACTGCAAGGGTAGTTTGAACCGCAAGATCAGTGATTCAAGTTTACCAGCCACTCCTTGGAAACCCTATATAGGGTCCAAGACTCAATGGCACTTAGAAACAACAACAACAATAGGACTTATAATGAAACACAGCAGTCTTCCAGCCTTCCCCTCCCTAGCCCTGATTGCTACTCCTCAGGGGCAATCATTTACAATTAATGTCTATGTTTCACCTAGTTACCTTCATATGCATAAAACAATGTGCTTATTCTGTTATTTTTCACTTTTCCTTTTTTAGATATTCCCTGCTGACTTTGAACTAGAGAAGACTGGCTTTAGCTCTCTGATCTAAGGACCATATTTTCCCTACCTTATCCTCCCAATTTACTTATCATGTTTAGTTAACTCTATAACTCTATATTCATTGTTTTCATTATTATGACTATAAAATCTTCCCAGCAAATAGTGTACACAATGTGCCATAAATATGTTTCTTTTCTTCTCCAACTTTTGGTTTTCCCAGGAGTCAATAATTCTATGGAGCTCTTTGGGGGGTTTTGTTTCAATTTTTTTGTTTTGATTGTAGCTAATCTCCCCAAATTCCTAGCCAGCAGTGTAAATCTCCTTATTCCCAGTATCCTGAATTTCATTATGTGTCTTGATGCAGGTATTTTTCACTCTTTGCTCAGGGCTCTTGTAATCTAGAGATTCTTTTCATCTAGTCCTTCAAATGCTGGGAAATTTCTTATTTCTTTCATCATTTCCAGATATCTGCTTTCTTGACCGTGTCTTTTAAAAATTCCTGTAATTCAGCTGTCCACTCGTGCTAAAGCGGAAAGCACTACAATGCTGGACAGAAGCTCTGGAGACAATGGCAATGTGAGGGTTGGTGTCATCCCACGGACCACCTCTTGCACAGACCAAACAGAATCCTTAGTAATATTTATTATCAGTTTTAATCACAGAATAATAAGTGATCAGTATAGTTGTAAACAAAATTGTTTTGTAAAATCTTTTTGCGTTGAATTACATTATTATTAGTTACAACATTATTAGTAAGTGAGTAGAAACCTTTTGTTTTGTTTTTTAATCTCTCCTCCTTTTCTTTTAATTACTACTTCATTCTCAAAAAAATGTTATGGGTTTAGGTTCACAAATATCACAATATGGTAGCTAACACCCTAGAAAATTTGACAAAATCAGCGACTATCAACCCTGCCAGCTCTGAAAACAACAATAGGTGCCTGTAGCGCACTGATGAGATCATGTGATTCAAAGCATCGTTGTGTTTAGGTAATAGTGACAGCTCTGACCAGAGCACATTGTTGTTGTTGTGAAGTGCCGTCAAGTTGATTCCGACCCATAGCAAGCCTGTATAGGGTATTTGGTGGTGGTGGTTATGTGCTGTGGAGTCAGTGCCGACTCATAGCGACCCTGTACAGGGTTTCCTAGGAATGGCAGGTGAGTCTGAACCACTGACTGACCTTGTGGTACAAACCGACCTTGTGGTCCAGTGCTTATCCTAAATCACCACACTAGGGATTTAGTCAGGAGCAAAAGAAACAGTCCTTGCCTTCTTCCTTCTTAGAGTTTACAGTTCAGTGAACTGTTGGAAGAACACTGCGACTACAATAAAAAGTTAAAAGAAAAAAGAAGCCTAGGATTCATAAGGATTGGAAGCAGGCCGAGATGATGGGTTTCTGAGATAATTATGGTAGATGCTGTAAGATATGCTCTAGACTGCTAACTACAAGGTTAGCAATTCTGCTCCTCAGAAACTCTAGATAGGGTCTCTATGAGTCAGAACTGACTTGATGGCATTTAACAACAACAAAAGAAATATTCTATCACCCCAGCATTAATGGTTGTTGTTAAGTGGTTAAGCGCGGTGAGTCAGTTTCGAATCAAAACAACCCTGTGTAGGTTTTCCAAGGTTTTAAATCTTTCTCGGAGCAGAAATCCCCAGGACTATGGCCCTTGTTCACCCTTCAAATCTGGAATTGAATTCACCCCACCCCCACGCCCAGCCCCATGGCTCAATTTTCAGTCAATCATTAGATGGGTATTTAGGAAAGACAACAACACTAGTGATATTTGCACACCATAGAATGGCCAACCATTCAAGATCAATAGGGCAGCACTTACCCAAGGACAACATTCAGAAGAGTGGGAAAAGAAGGAGGAATGGAAACAAGAAACTCAGGGAGGAAGTGGGATGAGTGATGTTTCATTGAGGGGCTTGTAATCCCTGAAATGAAAGGAATTGTGTCATTTGTTGAATGTAAAACTGATGATCTGCTCCATAAACCTTCACTCAATTCACAATAAACAGTTTTTCAAAGGAGAGAGAGAAAGATCCTAGATGTGAGATGTCTGGAAGAATCTTTTGAGTCAATAATGGAAGAGGAAGCTATTTGAGGAAACCTCCACAGGGTACAGCTTCTGAGCCCAGCAATGTGCAGATCCTCTAGAGGAAACAGAAGTCTACACCTAGGATGTGACCGTGTGACCAGCCATGATGTAGAATTCACCCCACACCTGCCTGTCCCTCACTTCTCCCCTCCACTTTCAGATCACAACCAACAGGACTACTCCAAGCCGGTTCTGTGGGCACCAGGGCTCCCTGGTGGGCAGAGAGTTTGTGTCCTCCGGAAGAAGGTTACAGCTGACATTCTGCACAGGTGCTTCCTCAGAGGACAGTACCATCCGCCTCCACAGGGGCTTCCTGGCCCTCTATCAAGCCATTAGTGAGTATCCTCCTGCAGGTGCAAAGAAACAGTCTCTTCCACAACCATAGCCCCTGACTAACTGCCTATGGACACTCAGTGAATGTTAAGGCCCCTTGGGCTGGATCCTATCCCTGCCCAGTAGTGACTACTGGATGACCATGAGGAACAGTGGGATGATTCCAAAACAACATTCAAACAGGCCCACTGTAGGAAAATCATCTCATTTTCTGAGAAGCCAAAAATCCATATTTAAAGTCAAATTCCAGATTTTTAAGTGGTGACTCACTTTTTTCTTTTTTCCTTTTAACTTTTTTTTATGTCATTGATAGATATTTTGTTGTCACCAACAGTGCTGATGTGGGTATCTTTATATGTTCATCTTTGAGCACATGTGTAAGAATATCTTCAGGGTAAATTCTTAGAAGTGGAAATGCTGGGGCAAAAAATGTTTACATGTTTTTTTATATTGCTGAATTTTCCTCCAGAGAGATTTTGTTAATTTTCATTCCTACCAACCATGCATGAAGGTACTTGTTTCCTCATACCTGCATATCATTATCATATTATTTTCAAACTTTTTTGTAACCAAGGAAAAGTAATTAAAATTTTTTTTAAGAAAACATGTGCAGTCCAAGCTAAATGTAGCCCAGGGCTAGAATCAACCACTGGGTTGCCAGTTTGCAATTCTGTCCTAGGTCCTGTCGTTATGAACAAGAATCAGCCCATTGGTCATGCTAATTGGAGCTCCAAGGCCATCCGCACACCTGTAGACAACTCCTCCAAGATTCAGAGCCCGGAGCTGTACTGTCAGGAGGTACCAGTAGGTGAGTCCCCACCTGCTCAGGTGCCCGCTTCTGTGTGTCACACACACACCCACCACCAAAAATCCTGAGGCACCACAGGAACTCATCCTGTAACCCAATATTTCCCAACTCACAACGGTTTTCTTTGCCTTTTCTCATTTCACAACTCAGAAACACTCACCTGCACAACCCAGGGCACCTGGAAGGACAGGCAGACTACCCAGGAGGCTCCTCAGCGTGCACCTGGTGAGTAGTAACCTGCCTGATGATGTTCTTTTCGCCATTTCCCAAGCAAGCCTTGGCTGTAGCAGGAAACTGTGGGAATGAAGAGAGAGGAGTTAGAAGAAAGCCTTCAGATAGAAAGGGGAGTTATAGGCAGAAGGAGAGAGAGAAAAGGAAAATCAAGAAGGCCCAGAGAAGGAGTGGCAAGGCGCTTTTCCCTTAGTCTTCAAGGATCAAGAGACATCTGACATGTTACGAAATGAAGGGAGTTGATTGTATGTAAAAATTAAAGGAGGAAGAGGTACAGAAGAGTTGAAATGGGAGAAAACTCTCTCTTTTTGTGTGGTCTGTTTTAATGACATACAGCCAGCCTTTCTGCTTCCAAAATACCTCCCTATCTAGATGTCACAGTAGCAGAAAGGTCACCTTTAAAAAATATAATTTCAATTGAGATAAACTTCATATGACATACAATTGACCATATTAACTATCTCAAAATAAATAATACAGTGTTTTGAGTGTCGTCACAATGTTGTGCAACTATCACCACTTTCTAATTCCAGAACATTTTCTTCACCACAAAAAGAAACACTGTGCCTCCAATTCCCCCCTCCTCAATCCCCTGGCAACCACGAATCTACTTTCTGTCTCTATGGGTTTGCCTATTCTAGACATTTCATATAAATGGAATCATAACAATATTTGTCTGCTTGTAACTGACTTCTTTAGTATAATGTTTGCAAGGTTCATCCACACTATGTTGTTGTTGTTAAGTGCTGTCGAGTCGGTTCCGACCCATAGCAGCCCTGTATAGGGTTTCTAAGAAGCAGCTGGTGAGCTTGAACCGCTGACCTCGCAGTTCAAATGGCTTTGCAGTCTGGCGCATTAACCCACAGCGCCACACCAGGACTCCTATCCACACTACTGCATGTATCAACATTTCATTCCTTTTTATGGCTGAATTATAGTCTTGGATGGATATATCACATTTTGTTTATTCATTCACCAGTTGATGGACATTTGGGTTGTTTACACTTTATAGGTATTATAAATAAAGCTGCTATAAACATTGTTTCATATACCTAGGAAGGTGGTAAAAACAGTTTACACCCAGCTACTAGCCAAAGAACCTACTTGATGGCACTTACCAATAACAACTTACCAAAAGGTTGGCAGTTCAAATTCATCCAACGGTCACTCAGAACAAAGGCCTGGTTAACTGTTTCCAAAAGGTCACCGCCATTGAAAACTCTGAGCACAGTTCTACTCTAACACACATGGGCTCTTAACAGCAAAGGGTTTGGGTTTCGTTTTAATATATTCCTGAGAGTGGAATTGTTGAATTATATCATAACGTGACATCACTTAGCAACAACAACAACGTGGTAACTATGTTTAGCTTCTTGAGAAGCTACTAAATTGTTTTCCAAAGTAGCTGCATCATTTTACATGCCCACCCACAATTTTTGAAATCCATTTTTTGAGGTAACTATTGCCTTCCTAACCCAGACTGAGTGAATTTCTCAGACTTTACTGATGGTCCACAGAAGGCTTGAGGAGAAGCTCTTAAGACTCCTGGGAATAGGTTATGGGAGATACTTCCAATGAGAAAATGACAAGAAAACAGAGGCAAAGGGCACTGAAGACAAGCTTTACCTGTTGCTTGATTTTGTCAAGGATGGTCTCACCAAGTCTCTAAAAGATTGGCTTAAGGAGGGTGAGGAGTCAGGAGGCAAGCCCAGCAGAGCCCGCCCTAAACATGTCTCACTCTCCCAATACTTGTACACACTATGTACCTCCTAGTGCCACCTGACTTGATTTGCTGTGCCTGTCTCCATTTGTGAGTCTGTATCAAGGTGCAATTTCCTTCTGATCCAGTTCAGGTCATACTTTGGACCACCCTACTGCAACCTACCCAGACAGATCTTTAATAAATGCACTTTAACATAGTCACTGACTTTTCACCCTCATCTCTTTTCTCTCCAGTGTGTGGACGGCCAGTCACTCCCATTCCCCAGAACCAAAAGGCCTTTGGTTCTTCCAAAGCTCAGTTGGGCAACTTCCCCTGGCAAGCTTTCACCAGTATCTACGGTCGTGGAGGCGGGGCCCTGCTGGGCGACAGATGGGTTCTCACTGCTGCCCACACCATCTATCCCAAGGACAGCATCTCCCCCCGGAAAAAACGGAGTGTGGATGTGTTTCTGGGACACACAAACATAAAGGAGATGCTGAAACTGGGAAATCATCCTGTCCGCCGCATCATTGTGCACCCAGACTACCGTCAGAACGAGTCCCACAACTTCGACGGGGACATAGCTCTCCTGGAGCTTCAGCACAACGTACCTCTGGGCACCCACCTCCTCCCAGTCTGTCTGCCCAACAACGAGACCCTCTACCTCAGTGGCCTGTTGGGCTATGTCAGTGGGTTTGGCATGGAAATGGGCTGGTTAACTACTGAGCTGAAATATTCAAGATTACCCATAGCTGAAAGGGAGTCCTGTGAAGCCTGGCTCCGAGAGAGGCAGAGGACTGAGGTGTTTTCTGACAACATGTTCTGTGTAGGGGATGAGATGCAGCAGCAGAGTGTCTGCCAGGGGGACAGTGGTAGCGTCTATGTGGTGTGGGATGATTGTGCCCATCAATGGGTGGCCACGGGCATAGTATCTTGGGGCATTGGGTGTGGCAAGGGGTATGGCTTCTACACCAAAGTGCTCAACTATGTGGACTGGATTAAGAGAGTGATGGAAGAGAGGGACTGACCCTTAGTGCCTCAACAGTGATAACCAGTGATGAAAAATGTGGAGGCACAGTAAGGAGAGGATCGGGAGTGAGGGCTATGCCTTGTGGGGGTGGAGGAGCAGGAGGTCCCCCAAGAGAGAAAAGCCGTCCTCCCCTCTAGTCCCAGAGTCTTAGTGTGACGCTGTGGGTTAACGTACTGGACTGCAATGTCGCATTTGAACCTCAAGGTCGGCGTTTCAAGCTCACCAGTTACTCCTTGGAAACCCTATACAGGGTCGCTATGGGTTGGAACTGACTCCATGGCACTTAACAACAACAACAATAACAACCTCCAGTCCCCAAACCATCCGAGACAGGAGTGGCCTTCCACAGTTGCCTTCCTCTCTTCCTCTGCCCTCCTGAACATTTGCACTACCCCCAAGGAAGCCCTGAACATCTTGGCAAGTTTCACTGTAAATGTCTTTGAACCTCCCTCACTTCATCTTCTGTTGATCCAAAGTCACCTTCTCACTTGTCATTCAAGAAGACTATGGAGAAAGTGGTTTTAATTCCCTCTCAATCCTAGTACTTTCCCTTTAGTTGACCTTCAAATATTCAAGACTTTTTTTTTTTTTAACCACCTTCCACAATTCCCAGATACATTAAAAAAAAAAAGGCTGCTGTCAAACTTGATTCTGACTTATGATGAACCCACGTATATCAGAGTCAGTTTGTTCTCTCCAGGATTTTCAATGACTAGGTTTTTTCAGAAGTAGATTGCCAGGACTTTCTTCCAAGATACTTATGGGTGAACTTGAACTTTCAGTCTTTCAGTTAGCAGCTGAGAATATTAACTTTGCATCTGCATAATAGTCACTTTCTCACCCTTCATTCATGTGTAGTATAGTGAAGTCTTAATTATATTTCATTTCTAAGACCCCTTTAGTTGACCTTCAAATACTTCAAGCCATTGGTTTTACCATTAGCACAACTCTAAATGTAGCTATGAGTCAGAGATAACTTAATGACAGTGAATTTTTGGTATCTGAACAAATGACCAGCAAGAATATCACAGGCCCCTTCCCACTTAGATGGGATATTCTAAGATATGTGTTCTGCTAGATTTCTCCATTGGTAATAAAAACCACTCACCTTTAGGGATAATTCACTTGAGAATGTACCCTTTCCTGCCTCAATCACTTTTCTACTCAAAAACTTTTCTCAGCGTCTATTTCAGGAGACTCCATACTGAGGAGTCATTGATGTTATGAGCTCAGTATTCTCAATTCTTTTTTTTTTTTTTTTTTTCTCTTCACCAAAATAGCTAATTTCCTGAACTACTTTTTAATGTTAAGTATTAGCTTTAGGTTTTCTGAACCATGAAGTTAGTGTGAAATTTGAATTCCAAACTAATGACAAAGTAATATTATGTCTAGTTAACCATCTTTAAAGTAGACTTTTTCTTTTCCTACAAAGTCACTGCACTGTTGTTGTTAGGTGCCGTCAAGTGAGTTCCTACTCACAGCGACCCTTGTAGGGTTTCAGAGGAGTGACTGGTGGGTTTGAACCAATCTTGCAGTTGGCAGTCCAGTGCCTATTCCTCAGCACCACACTGTAGCCAAGAAACCTCCCTGACTTCATATTATGCTGATGGGAAGAGTTTTCCTAGTTTCTATTCACAACTCCTGCCTTTAAGCAAGAGAATCACATGGTATTCTGTGTCTTATCTGGGCCCAAACAGATTCTTGGACCTATAGTTTATTCCAGGAAATGAAAATATCTCCACTATTTTTTATTTTTATTTTAGGGAGAGAGATTACTAGATCCAGAATGAAAATGCATGCTTCCTTGGACCTGGACCAAAAAACTAAGGATTTGAATCAGAATGATATTAACAGCTTACACAATAATTGGTATTTACTGATAGGTCAAACTACAAAGGACATTTCCCCGCCCCTGCCCCCTCCCCCCTCCCCAAGTTAACACCTTTTGATCCTGGGAAGTTGCTTGTGGAGAATTTCTTCCCTCCTTTCCACTTTTACAAATGTCTAGCATATCTAGGAAACATCCAAAATAATATTTTTACTCAATTTATTGAGTTAACTGTTTTCTGTTCTTTGACTTTATAAGGAGAGACTGACTGATTGTCTCATTGGGTGCATATATTTGTGTTTTGCCCACATGGCTATGTATGGGTATTTGTGTTTGCCCGCATGGCTATGTATGGGTATTTGTGTTTTGCCCACATGGCTATGTATGGGTATGATTTCCTATAAAGATTACTTGTACATGGGTCACCTTCAGTCAAGTAGCCCTGTCCGCCTGGTAGGGTAGTAATTTTGAAGCCTGTTGTTGTTGTTGTGTATTGTCAAGTTAGTTCTGATTCATAGTGACTCTGTATAGGGTTTCCGAGGAGCAGCTAGTGAGTCTGAACCACCAACTTCATGGTTAGCAGTCAATTGCTTGTCCTACACTAAGACTCCATTGTTGTGGGGTTTTTTTGTTGGTAGACACTCTTACATTTATTTATACGCATTTGTTGTTGTTAGGTGCCATCAAGTCGGTACCAACACATAGTGACCCTATGCACAACAGAACAAAACACTGCCCAGTCCTGGGCCAACCTCACCATTGTTGGCACGCTTGAGCCCATTGATGCTGCCACTTTGCCAATCCATCTTGCTGGGGGTCTTCCATAGAGACCCTATATATAACAGAACAAAATATACCTGGCCCTGAAACAATTGTTGCTATGTTTGAACTCACTGATACAACTATTGTGTTAATCTATTACTTTGAAGGAAACTTAAGTCATACTTTTTTTGAACCCTAGGTCATAATTTTTCCTGTCTAGATCCTGTGTCCTGATTAGATCAACTTGCTCAATGATGACACTTCTCAATTTGACTAAAACTTGTCTGCAATTGAAAATTGCACTCTGTTGTGTCTATCTGAAAGAGGTAGCTTTAATGAGTTTGTTTCTGTATCTGAAACAATTTCCATCTATACTCAAAATGTCTGTGAAAAGAACAGAGAAATAAAATTTCAAAGACAAGCAAACTATTGACCATTTTATTGATTAAGTGACAATATGATTGGAATAACTAAAACTCTCAGATTGAACGTGCCTTGGGAAATATGTTAAAAACAGTAGCCTACAGGTGGGCATAGAACATCTTTGCCAGTTAAAAATATCTAAAATAAAACTATTGTATCTAAGGAAGTAAATTTGGTAAGCATCTTAGAAGCATTCTGTTTAACATCTTTCCAAAAACTGAAATTATGTTTATGACTTGACTCAATTTAATAAATTCCTTATGTTGTTTAAATTTAAAAAGTGACTGTAGTAAAATCTCCTATAAACCAGGTCCCTCTCATCTGCTATTTCATTTAATCCTCACACCAAGTTTGCAAAGGGTGTGTTGTTAGTCACATTTTACAAATGAGGAAACGGAAACTCAGGGAGATAAAGCAGTTTGCTCAAGTCTCACAACTGGTGTGTTCTTTCCCCTATGCTATGATACTTCTCAACTGTTCTCAGAACTTACTGGATCTCCACTTCTCCATCTCCACATCCTGGGAATCCCTGCTTCAGCGCAGGCAGCAACACTGCTAGCCTGCTTCCTGCATACACCTAGATGAATGTGGTACTGGGCAAGGTGTTCCTGTAGACACCCCAGTCTGTGCCCCTGTCAGTGAGCCCCTTGACTTTGTCATTGAGGGGTGCTGCTCTATCTGAGAAGACCAACTGTCTAATTTTCGGTGATGTCTTGAAGTGATTTACAGTAACAGATACAACCATTCATATGAAAATAGAAAATTAATACCATAAAACAAATATTGTTAGTGTTTTTAAGTGCCGTCAAGTTAGTTCTGACTCATAACAACCCTGTATAGGGTTTCCAAGGAGTGGCTAGTGGGTTTGAACTACCATCCTTTTGGTTAGCATTCCAGTACCACACCAGGTCTCCATAAAACAGATAGGGAATAGGGAGAACAGATGTTGCTAGTCATGAGCAACAAGTTAGCTACTATGATTAAAAGTTAAATAGCAGAATTCAAAGTTGTATGTTCGTATGATCACTTGTATTTTTTAAAGCACAACAGACTACAGGGGGTGGGAAAACCTTCAAAATCATAAAGAGGTTGTTTTAGATGCTAGGTTTGGCTGCTTTCTTTTCCTCTAATCTTCTTTACCTGTCAAACTTTATTTAAAGAACATTATTATTGAAAAAAGAATAAATAATTTTTATTGATGGGCATGTATCATTTTATTAATAATATTTTTTATTAACATGTGCGTCTCTTTTGCAAGGTTATAGATAGACATATATTTTACAGAGGAAAACCTACCATCACTTTAAGAGAAAAAATCTTTCCTTCTCAGAATCAAATCCTAAGGGGAATGACCAGTATGCTAACAGACAACATTTTCAATAATGGTGGTAGACAGGCAGCCTTATCAAGCTTTATAAGGCTGTTTGTTCTTTCTGATGTTGGTGTAAGCCAAGGGTGTGACAAAAACATGTGAGTAAATGTTTTTTTGAGTGATGGACAGAGTGGGAGCTGAGCTGATTTGTCACTTTGTAATCATGTTGCCTGATGAGACAGAACTAAGAATTCCTGGGATAGATGCAAGAGCTTCAGCCAAGACTTACCTCTGCCATCTGTCCTCTTCTTTACACACACACACACAAAGGCACACACACGCACACACTGCAGGCAGGATGATAATATGCAGTTTAGTAAACAAGATTCTCCTTTCTTCTCATCTCCGGACGGAATCTTATCATCTTCCTTGTCTTTTCATTCCTGCCTTGACACGCTTATCATGAATCAGCTCTGCCATCAGATTCATTCCTCTGCTCTGATACAGAAGCCTGCTGGAGAAACCCTTAGTTGATCTTGTACCTTTCCTGTTTCTGCATTCAGGGTCATTGCCCATCTTCCTGAATCCTTGCAATCCACTGTCTGAGAGAGGGTCTGTTGTGCAATAGGGAGACCATAAATGGATGAATGGTGGGCAGGAAAACTAACTCAGAAGCCTGTTCTGCAGTCATGGAGAGTTTTTCAAGAAAGGCCTCCAGAAAAAGAAAGCTATAAACTAGACACTATGGCCTGTAGCTGCTCTGCGGGAGAAAGATGAGGCTTTCTACTCCCGTAAAGATTTACACCCTCGGAAACCCTGTACAGGGTCGCTATGGGTCGGAACCGACTCGACGGCACTTAACAACAACAACATGGCCTGTAGGATAAGCACTGGACTGCTAACCACAAGGTCAGAAGTTCAGATCCACCAGCTGCTCCTCAGAAACGCTATGAACAACAACATGGCCTGGTGGATAAAAGAGACCAAAACCCCTATTCTCTCCCAGCAACTGGGCTTCCTCTCAGGAAAGTTGAGCCCAGAAAGGAGTAAGTCACTGTTGGCCTACAGCCACACCTCTGCTTGTTGTTGTTAGGTGCCACCGAGTTGCTTCTGACTCATAGCCACCCCATGCACAACGGAACCAAACACTGCCCTGTCCTGCACCATCCCCACAATTGTTTGAGCCCATTGCTACTGCCACTGTGTCAATCCATCTTGTTGACTTCTTTTTTTGCTCGTCTTCTTCTTTTTTGCTGACCCTCCATTTTACCAAGCATGATGTCCTTCTCCAGAGACTGGTCCCTCCTGATAAGATGTCCAAAGTATGAGAGTAGAAGTCTCACTATCCTGGCTTCTAAGGAGCATTCTGACTATACTTCTTTGAAGACAGATTTGTTTTTCTTCTAGCAGTCCATGGTACTTTGAATATTCTTCTCCAACACCATAATTCAAATGCATCAATTCTTATATGGTCTTCCTTATTCATTGTTCAACCCTCATATGCATATGAGGCAACTGAAAATACACCCTCTGCTTGGTGGTGGTGGTTGTGTACCATAAAGTCAGTTTTGATTCATAGAAACCCTGTGTAGAATTTCCAAGGGTTATCAATCTTTATGGGAGCAGAAAGACTTGCCTTTCTCCCATGAAGTGACTGGTAGAGTTGAACTACTAACCTTGTGGTTAGCAGTCCAGTGCCTAATCCACTACACTACAACAGGGCTCCTAGTAACTGCAGCCCTGGGGGATGGGGAGAGGGTAACTCAAACATTGCACCAGATGCTGAGGAAAAGAGGACATTTCTACCCTCTCCTCACTGCCCTCGTGTCACTTAAATGTCAAGTCTGTAGGCCTGAGTTCACTGAGGTAGAAGGGAGGGTTTCAAAACAGACTGATTGTCCTGACGTGGCAATCCCTGTTCTATGTCTAAACATTATTCAAAAGTAAAGAAGGCCAGTGCCTCAATGCATCTAAACTCCAGTCTCTTCTGCTCACTCCCAAGCTGTATTGCCCAATCCCATTGTTCCTGTCATCTCATCCTGAGCATTGAAACGCTGGTCATTCCTGAGGCATCACCCTCCATCCCTCTCAACCTGTAATTTCCTATTGCCATTTGGGTAGATTTGCCCAATGCAATACGTCGTCTGATCTCTTGACTGCTGCTTCCGCGAGTGTTGATAGTTGATCCAAGAAGAATAAAGTCCTTGACAACTTCAATCTCTTCTCCATTGATGGCACCTGACAACTACAACAACAACATTTGGGTAGAAACCTGATCAACACAGCAGCAGTACCTCGGAAAGTCCCTGGCGAAAGGGAAAATTCACATCTGGACTTAGAAACAGAAGAGCCTGGGCCTCTAACCAAAGGCTTACCAGTCCCTAAAAATTCATACTCATCTCCTTAGTTGTTTTTTTTGTTAGGTGCCATCAAGTCGGTTCAGATCCATCACAGTCCTATGTAAAACAGAATGAAACACCACCAGGTCCTGCGTCATCCTCACAATTGTTGCTATGCTTGAGCCCATTGCTGCTGCCATTGTGCCAATCCATCTCATCAGGGTCGCCCTCTTTTCTGCTGATCCTCCGATTTTCCAAGCATAACATCCTTCTCAAGGGACTGGTCCCTCCTGATAATATGTCCAAAGTATAAGAGACAAAGTCTGGTCGTCTTGGCTTCTAAGGAGCTTTCTGGGTGTACTTCTTCCAACACAGATTTGTTTGTTCTGGCAGTCCATGGTACCTTTAATATTCTTCTCCAACACCATAACTCAAATGCATCAAAGCTCCCCTAAATAGACCAGCAGGTGGCACCACCAACAGGGATTTCAAAACCAAAACTAAATTCAAGTGGAAACTCAGATTTTTTTTGTTTATGCAAATAGTTCATTCCCTACAACATTCCTCCGGGAATGTCCACCCCCCCTCCCACCTCCAATCATTCCTCCCCCCTTCCTGTTCTGCATGAACGCTCTCTCCCTCGACACAGAGTGCATGAAGACGCTGTCAGGAGAGACGAGGATCAAAGCACAAGTCTTGAGAAATGTGAGTAAGGTTGATGGGACAAAAGAGGGAATGATAAGCTAAGGGGGAGAATGAATCCTGACTTGGGAAGATAGGACCACCCTTCTCCTCCCCATATACCTTATCAATGATGCACACTGGTGCACACACACAATGACACATCCCACCTCCTCAGGACAAAAGGAGACCTTAGATATATGAGGAAATGGCCACATTCCCTGTCTTTCTCCACTGCATGGCAGGCAGCAGCAAGACAAGGGGGCTCAATCTGCCCAGGAGGAGTACATTCTGTGTGTGCTTCCCATACTCCACAGGTGACTTCTCCCAGAGGCCTTTGCTGAGTCTTTGGGAGCCCTCTCAAAGAGCCATTACTGGAAACCCTCATCCTCAATTAAACCGGTCCCAAGCCAGTCCTGTTCCAGGAAAGGCCCACATCTGGAAGTGGGGGAGAGTGATGAAGCAGGGGAGGAGGATGGGGAATGAAGGGAAGGGAATGTGCTGGCCACTGGACTGGACTCTGCCCTGTGGAAGAACTCCCAATGTGGCAAGGTGCAGAGACTGGCTTACCTTTTACTCAGCCCTACCTGGACTATCGCTATAAGGTTTAGAAGGGGCAAAGAGAAAAGTGCTGAATGTTGTGACCGCCCTCCCCTGTCCATGTCCCCCTCCATACAGTGAGGGTGCTGTCCTCCTCTAGCCCTAGACACCTTTCTTTTCGGCAGGTGGCTTCTTTACATCCTGGTGGCAGTCTTGTTCTGCAGAGTGAGAGGGTCCATCCCCATCCCCCAGAAGCAATTTGGAGAAGTGACGTCCCCTCTGTACCCCAAGCCTTACCCCAACAACTTTGAAACAACCACTGTGATCACGGTTCCCCAAGGATACAGGGTGAAGCTCGTCTTCTGGCAGTTTGACCTGGAACCTTCTGAAGGCTGTTTCTATGACTATGTCAAGGTAGGGGGTCAGGCTGGGGACACCGAGAAAAGACTAAGATGGGCAACTGTGAAAATGAGGTCTTGTGCTCTAACAATCCTCCCACCATGGCAAGCCCCAGACCAGTAAGAGTTGGTGACTGAGTGGAGTTCTGAGGTGAGGTGATGTCATGGATGGGACACCCACTGGATTTAGAGACTCTCAGTAAGCACTTAAGGGAGAAACATGAAGGAGCAAGGTATAGGACCCACTCTCAGGGAACCCACTATCTATAGGAGTCAGAAAAACCTTCTCCACCTGCTGACTTGCTGAGAGTCTGGGAAAACACTGTGCCTCAGTTTCCCTCTCCCAGTGAAAAGCATCACCATGGCTTCCAGTCTCAACAAGAACATGAGGAAGAGAAATGTGTGTGGTGACAGCTTGAGCACAGCCCTCAGCAAGGCAGTGGGCTCGGTCCCCACACAACTTTCTATATCCAACAAAAGTGAGGTTCTAGATTCAGGATTCAAGTTGTTGTTGTCGTTTAACTGTTGTCAAGTCGATTCCGACTCATAGTAACCCAGTATAGAGTTTCCAAGGAGCAGCTGGTGGTTTTAGCAGTCTGGTGCTTATCCGGCAGTGCCAGACCAGGATTCCGGGATTCAATAGAGCCTGCAAAATATCCAGTGAATACTATTCTCAGGAGACCCTTCTGGAAATTATTAAAGAATAACACAAAAATTAAGCATCTTCCTAGCCTAGAGGATTTGGAAAGCTTGTCATTGTGATTTTGGTGTTTTTTGGGGGTAAGGGCCTGGTGGTAGTGGGGAGGAGTAAAGAGGAGTGAGAAGACCTCTTCTGCTTTTAAGAGATCGAGGAGTCTGTGGAGTAAAGAGTCAAGAGAAGTCAAACAATACTTGCTGATGTTAAAGCTGGTGGGTCCCAGAGCTCACCTTTAGTCTAACATACCAGGAGGCATGGCTGGGTGTGAAAGGGTTGAATAAGGTGAAGAGGAGTAAGAAAGTAGAAACTATAGCAGATCAGTGCAGTCACTAGGAAGGAAGGAAGGCAGGATACAGGATGAGGAGAGACATGGGGAAGACATGAGAAGTGGTGGGAGTGAAGAAACATTGGAAAAATCACTTGTTGTTAAACGTTGTCAAGTCAGTACCAACTCATAGCGACCCAATATAGAGGGTTCCCAAGGCTGTAAATCTTTGAGGTAGCAGAAAGACTCATCTTTTCAGTGGCCTCAAACCGCTGACCTTGTGGTTTGTAGTCCAGTGTTTATTCTACAGAGAACCAGGCACAAAATAACATACAAAGAACTTGTCAATGGGAGATTCAGGTGGATAGATGAAAGTCACCTGGGGAGATTTGCAACTAGCAGAGTGTAACAGATAGTGTCCAATTGTGAGGCATAATTCATTCTTGGGCACCAGAGAGAAAGGACCTTCACTCACCTTCCACTGGGACCCATCTCTTCCTTTCCTTTGCCCTTTCTCCATCAGATCTCTGCTGACAAGAAAAACCTGGGGAGGTTCTGCGGGCAACTAGGTTCCTCACTGGGCAACCCCCCTGGGAAGCAGGAATTTATGTCCCAAGGAAATAAGATGTTGCTGACCTTCCACTCGGATTTCTCCAATGAGGAGAATGGGACCATTATGTTCTACAAGGGCTTTCTAGCCTATTACCAAGCTGTGGGTGAGTGATCCCAGAAGGAAGCCCGTTCTTCTGCCATCATATTAAAATGAGGGCCAGTAAAAATATATATATTAAATCCAAAGCAGCCATAGAAAGCTTTTTGCCTAAGAGGCCTCCCAGTTTAGACTCTGTCCCCACTGGCTAGTTCTCAGCGGTTCAGGCGGCCAGAAGCTGACACTGACGTTGTCTTTAAGCCTTTGATGATTGACCCTTCAGAGATCAGCGCCACCACAGGCGTCCGCTAACAGGAATCGAATCCTTTTTGTTCAATCCCTTCCAGACCTCAATGAATGTGCTTCTCAGCTCAACTCTGCCGAAGAAGATCCCCAGCCGCGGTGCCAGCACCTGTGCCACAACTATGTTGGTGGCTACTTCTGTTCCTGCCGTCCGGGCTATGAGCTTCAGACAGACGGGCGTTCTTGCCAGGGTGAGGTCGGGTGTGTATGGGAGGGAGGCAAAGACTGAGCAAGGGCTTGCTGGGCCCCCTGGAAAGTCGACCTGTGACCTGTGGCTGACTGTGCTCTCCTAGCTGAGTGCAGCAGTGAGCTGTACACAGAGCCATCGGGCTACATCTCCAGCCTGGAGTACCCTCGTCCCTACCCCTCTGATTTGCGCTGCAACTACAGCATCCGGGTTGAGCGCGGTCTCACCCTCCACCTCAAGTTTCTAGAGCCTTTCGAAATTGATGACCATCAGCAAGTACACTGCCCCTATGACCAGCTGCAGGTACGTCTTGCCTCCTGTCCCCACTACGGTCCTCTCTTCCCTATTTCCTCCTGTGTCCTCAGGAGACAGGAAGGGTCAATATTATGCATGAGCTAGGCAAGTTCCCAATTGGAAGTGAGTCCTGGGAAGCCATTTCTTTCTTAAGCTGAAAACACACACAAAGCAGGATTCCCACCGCCCTAGCCACCAGGTGATTACCCATCTAGCCCTGGAGGAAATGTCCACACTGAAGCAATAACCCTCTTTCCTCCACCATCAGATTTATGCCAATGGGAAGAATATTGGTGAATTCTGTGGCATGCAGAGGCCCCCTGATCTTGACAGCAGCAGCAACGCCGTCGATCTGCTCTTCTTCACAGACGAGTCAGGGGACAGCCGGGGCTGGAAGCTGCATTACACCACTGAAAGTAAAGTTGCCAGCCAGCAGTGGGGAAGGATGAGGTAGAGAAAAGCAAAAATAAGCGAGTCTGAGATAAACATGCCTCTGGTCTCCTCAACAGCCATCAAGTGCCCCCAGCCCAAGACACTAGACAAGTTCACCATCATTCAGGACCTACAGCCTCAGTACCAGTTCCGTGACTACTTCATTGCCACCTGCAAGCAAGGCTACCAGCTCATGGAGGTGAGGACCCTAGGCAAGGGAGAGAATACCAGTTCAGCATTTAAGGAATCATTCAGATGGTATAGGACCACAGTGGCTTTAGGCTCAGCAACAACTAGAATCATAGTTGTATGAGCTCAAAGGATGACCTTTGAATTTAAAGCAACTGGTTTTTAAACTTAGTTGCACATTGAAAACACTTAAAGCATTTTAAAAATTACTAAACGTCTGAGTCTTCCACTAGAGTTTCTGACTCCATTGACCTGCAGTATAGCCAGGACATCAGGATTATTTAAAGTTCCCCAGGTGATTCTAAGGTACAACCAAATTTGAGAACTACAGATCTAGTCCAATGACTCATTTTGGAATTAGGATTGAATAGGCAGGGGTAGCGAGCGGTACAGGCAAGTAGTGACATGCTCAACATCACAGTGATTTTGCTGTAGAGCAGGAACTAAGACACACATCTCCAGCCTCTTGCCCCAGGGCTCTTTTACACACATTGGTAGTCTCATTTCAGGCCCACCAGCCACAACTTTGCAGACTCAGGAAGGAGCTCAGTCCCACAAAAGCTAGGAAACTAGAATGCTGTTTTTAAAAAGCATACAATTAGAGTTCTCCCTAGCCAGGGACCTGGGACTGAACATTCCCTCCTTGTTTAATAGATCCACCTGTAAAATGAATCAGAATCAGAGAAAAGATTTATAGTATGCCCTTAAGTGATTATTGGTAAGTGCCATGGAGTTGGTTCTGACTCAGCAAGCCTGTATAAGGTTTCTGAGGCTTGTATATCTCTGAGGGAGCAGAAAGCCTCGTCTTTCTCCCATGGAGCAGCTGGTGGGCCTGTCTTCTGACTTTGACATAATATTGTTGTTGTTGTTGTTGTTGTTGTTAAGTGTTGTCAAGTCAGTTCCGACCAATAGCGACCCTGTACAGGGTTTCCAAGGGTGTAAATCTTTACGGGAGTAGAAAGCCTCATCTTTCTCCTGCGGAGCGACTGGTAGTTTCCAACCGCTGACCTTAAGGTTTGCAGCCTGATTCGTAACCACTACGCTACCAGAGACATACTATATTAATTCAATAAATATTGTTAAGGCCTACAAAGTGCCATGCAATGTTCTAGATGTTAAAGATACAGTATTTTAAAAACACTCATGCTCACATAGTCTTTGTGGAGCAGACATGTGAATATTTCATCAAGTCAAGTTAGCCTGATTGAATTGCTCCTTACTCCAGGATACTTGCAGTCACATCATGAGAACCACGTGTCCTGGGTCCAAAAGACTGAAGACTAACAAACTCTGTGCTCCCTTTCCTGTGCCTCTACCATCCTTACCTTTGCATTTGTTGTTCACATATGTAATGTAAAGCAAGATAAATACCGTTATCTCACGTTGTTTACATTTTGCTAAGACATTTGCTAGTTTTCATGCACATTCTCTGGCAGTCTTCTCCCAGACTTATTCTCTGGGATGATTCTTGGTCTTAATAATAATTCGATCATATTGTTCAATTACTTTTCACTTCAGAGGGTAGCATTTTCTTTCCCTACCCTTGAGCCCCTATCATCATCTCAAGCATCCTTGAAAGGGGCTGAGAGCCATTAGTATTTTAGGAAAGGCCTGTGTCCTTAAGAAATGGTACCTCTATTACATTGTAGGAGAGATAAAGTGATACAGGCCCAGACTGACAGCACATTCTGGAAGGAGAGAAACATGGTTCTGCTTCAGAACCAGGGTCTTTTGTTTCAATAGAGAAGACACACAATCTTGGTGTTTTTTTGGTGTGCTTTTGCTGTTATGGTTTTAATCACAAATTGTGAAGTTCAACTGCATCTCAGTGGGAAACAGGCAAGAGTCTAGCAAGATTACTGGTGTCTAACAATTAGCCTGTGCTTGGTGTGTGAGTCAGTGTGCTCACATTTGTAACTCTGGTCAGAAAGGACTGGCCAGGAAGAAGGACACATCCATGACAGAGCTGAAGTCTGAGAGCTTGAGGGATATCTTTGCATTCCCTACTGGTTCTGTGTAGGTAAAAGTAGGAAGGGGGATACTATGCCTCTTTTACTAATAGTACCTCTACCTCTGTTCAAACAGGGGAAGCAAGTGCTGCTATCCTTCACAGCTGTTTGCCAAGATGATGGCACATGGCATCGTGCCATGCCCATGTGCAAGAGTAAGTCACAATTCAAGGGTGTGTCTGCCCCTGGGGTCCGTCCAGGCCCAGCGTTGGGGATCTAGGCTGAGAAAGGAAAATGAGATCTAGTCTGAACTTCTCTCCAAGAGACACCCTCTCTCACTTGTCTTTCAAAGCTTTTGATCTGTCTCAGGAACAAGTGAGTCTTCATCTCAGCAAGATTAATGGACTCTTCCACTCAGAAGTGAATTTTACTCTGTCCAATTCCCATCCCTCTCAAGTACCCTTCCTTCCCAGTGACCATATTTCTCCAAGGTTCTCAGCCTATGACCTATTCTGTGTCCAGGCAATTCACATTCCCCACTAAGGTTGCAATGCAGGCATGTTCACTCTCTTACAACTCTCTGTTCTCTCAAAGTCAAGGACTGTGGGCAACCCCGAAGCCTGCCTAATGGTTACTTCAATTACACCACCACAAAGGGAGTCAATACCTACCAAGCTCGTATCCAGTACTTCTGCCATGAACCATATTACAAGATGCAGACCAGAGCTAAAAGCAGTGAGTCCACACAAGGTAGGAGCCATTGAAAGTGGCAGTCTTCCCTCTTCTTGAGACATACTCTGATATTTGTTCTCAGTGGTGCTGTGGGATAAATCACTAGACTGCAAGGTCAGCTTGAAAACAAGGTTGGTGGCTCAAACTCACCAGCTGCACCTTGGAAATTCTATACAGGGTCATTGTGAGTTGAATGGGACTCAATGGCACTTAACAACAAAGGGGATATGTATTAGGGTATTTGGCCAGGAAACAGGCTTAACAGGCCTAAATTATAATGCCAAGAGGCACCAGGAGAGTTGAAGAAGGAGACATCTGAGTGAATTAAAAAAAGAAGATTCTGAATCTCTTAACCATTACCACCAACACCAACACTAACACCACCACCATTACCACCAACACCACAAATACCATCATCACTATCAACACAACCATCCCACCACCAACAGTAATAATACCATCATCATCACTACCATTAGTAACAGCACAGTCATCACCATATTTCCATCACCATCACCCTTGTCACTGCCACCACAGTCATGTCAACCAGACTGCCAACACCAAACAATTATGTTGTGGTTTCTTGGATATAGGCATACTAATTTAGTCTCAACTCATCAATGGATATAGTTTTAGTTTTTTTAATAAAAGAAATCACATGCATTGTACATTTGAAACTAGTGAAAAAGGGAAAAATAATCTGTGTTATATGTGGTATTAGTTAAGAGCTGAGCTTTGGATTTAGACAACCCTCTTGGTTCTGGCTCTTAAAAGTCATGTCACCTTGTTTAAACTGAATTTCTTCATCTATGAAATGAAGATAACAATACATATTTCAACATGTCCCTGTAGACATAAAATGAGATCATGCAGAGGAAGTACTTAGCATCAAGCATGGTGTATGGTCAGCAATCAGAAAATGTTAGCAACCATTATTATCCATAATCTCACTACCAAAATGCAATCACAGATAAGATTTTGACAAGTTCCTTCTGATTTTTATGCCTACTTTTACAAATAGGGATAATACTGAACATATAGCTATGCATTCATATATATATATATAGAGAGAGAGAGAGAGAGAGTTTCTAACACTTTCAATAATCTATCGTTGTATATTTTTACTTTCCCCTTTTTATTCTTGTTCATGTTGGTTCCTTAACTGTGCTATACACTGAGTTTTCTTACCCTGATCAATCATATCTTCCTGTCTCCCCTCAGGGGCATATACCTGCACAGCCCAGGGCATTTGGAAGAATGAACAGGAAGGAGAAAAGATTCCTCGGTGTTTGCCAGGTGAATGGAAACTTTCTGGGGCCATACTCAATGTCTTTTGCAGCCCAACATGGTCTCAGAAGAAATATGGCACTGAGAATAGAGACAAAGGGAGCAGAAAATCAGAGACAGAGATGTGGAATAAGGAGAAGGGACAAGGAGCAAGGAAGAGAGGAACATAGACAATTGTGTTCAATCCTGATATTCTAGCATTCTCAGTGAGCAAACAGGTAGTCTTCTTTTTTCCTAAAAAAAGACTAAGGGAAACATAGAAAAGAATAAACAAAAGAAAAAGGTTGACAACAGGCCAAAGAAGTAAGTGTGGGAATGGGAGGAGATCAAGAGAAGGAACAAGGCCAAGAGAAAGGATGAGAGGGAAACTGAATGACCATCGGAGGGAGGAAGGGCAGCATCTGGAGTTGACCTGTCCTTGTCTCTCCTGTCTCTCTTCTCCAGTGTGTGGGAAACCAGTCAACCCTGTAGAACAGAAGCAGCGTATCATCGCAGGACAAAAGGCCCAACTGGGCAACTTCCCCTGGCAGGCGTTCACCAACATCTACGGACGAGGTGGGGGAGCCCTCCTAGGCGACCGCTGGATCCTCACAGCTGCCCATACCCTCTACCCCAAGGACAACGATGCACAAACCAATGCCACTGTGGATGTGTTCTTGGGCCACACAAGTGTGGATGAGATCATGAAACTTGGATACCACCCCATCCGAAGGGTCAGCATCCACCCAGACTACCGTCAGGATGACTCCAACAATTTTGAGGGAGACATTGCCCTGCTCGAGCTGGAAAACAGTGTCACCTTGGGCCCTAACCTCCTCCCCATCTGCCTGCCAGACAATGAGACCTTCTATGACAGTGACCTCATGGGCTACGTCAGTGGCTTTGGGATAACAGAGGAGAAAATTACTTCTCACCTCAGGTTTGTCCGTCTGCCTGTAGCTAGACGAGAAGCCTGTGAGTCCTGGCTCCGAGAAAAGAAAAGGAATGATGTGTTTTCTCAAAGCATGTTCTGTGCTGGGGACCCAAACCTAAAGCAGGATTCCTGCCAGGGGGACAGTGGAGGGGTCTTTGCAGTGAAGGATCCTAAGACTGATCGCTGGGTGGCCACGGGCATCGTATCCTGGGGCATTGGGTGCAGCAGGGGGTATGGCTTCTACACCAAGCTGCTCAGCTATGTGGACTGGATCAAGAAAGAGATGGAAGAGGAAGGCTGAGCCCAGGATTCACTAGGTCAGAATCCTGAGAGCAGTGTGTAAAACAGAATTATCCGTCCAGTTGTTGATAACCACTCAGAGCCCATATTAAAATCACTGATGCAGAAAGACATTGTGTGAAAACATTTTCTTTTCTTCAATCTCATCCGCATCCTTTACCTGAAACAACCCAAAAGTCACCTTTCTTCCTTCCAATAATTCCTGAAGACATGTTTTCACAATCTATACCTATCATTTACCTTTTCCATTTTTATACCATTGGATGCTTGAAGAAAACTCTTTTTCCAAATAAAAATCTATAAGAAACTCCAATATATTAAACCAGTTTACCAGTTGCCATTTTACAAAATGAGATCATGCATGATGATCTCATGTGTGGCAGAGGAGAACTGTGCTCCATAGGACTGACTTTCGATGACTGATTTTTCAGAAGTAAATTGCCAGGCCTTTCTTCTGAGGTGTCTCCAGGTAGAACAGAACTACCAACTTTTTGGTTGATAGCCTAGTGCATTAACCAGAGATGCCAAATGAATAAAACTGGTATTTAATTAATATTAAAATATATAGTCACATTTTAAATATTTACTTTGGGAGACAAAGAGAATAATTAAGTTTTTGCACACATTTACAATGGTAGTTATGAATAATAATTTATTTCAGTATTTTACTTTGAATGTACAATACAAAGAAAATCCTGATTTTCTAATATACATAGTTGTAAATATAATGGCTGCTTTATTTTTAAACACTTGCTTTCCAAACCTAAGTATTTTTTAGGAGAGGAGTGCTTTGAAAATTTTGCTTCCAAGTTGAGCCACTAACAATATTTTTAAATAACTTGCATTTCTTAACATACATTAAAAGGTCAGAGAAAGACCCAAATGTTAAAATAAGCATTAGAATATTTTCAGTATGTTATTGTACAGCTGACTGTTCTGGACTTGTCTGAACAACGTTACATGATCCAACACACACAGATATGATCCGTGCAATGTTAAAACCTTTCCAAGTAATCAAAACGACAATGATATATTAGCTCACCCTGGTATTAACAGCAAAGTTAAAAAAAAAAA